GTCACTGTTCATTTATTACTATCGATATCCGTGCTTGTTCTGATTTGAGTGTCAGAATGCCTTTTATAGGTACCTTTCCCTGCTGGAATATTCGTTTGGAACTCTCGTTCGGTCTTCAAATTATGAAAAGATTACTAGTGTACCCTTCTGACAGGTACAAGTTAAATCAAAAAGTTTCTTTAAAATAACTTAACTTTTGAAAAATTTAAATCAAAACTTTTACAAATTAATTTCTACATAATTTTCTTTTAACGTATGATATTTTTTTTATTATCAATACTTATACAAGAGTTATAAAAGGGATGATAAGCTAATATTACATCTATATCTCCTGTGAAAATAATGTGTATCTGTTCTCCCAAAATAACACTTCAACTCCGAACAAAGAAAAGAGATTAAACTTATAAACAAATAAATTATTTCTTAAAAAATTGTAAATATAAATCAAATTTACTATTTAATGTTTTGAAAATTCTCATTTAATTCCCAATTATAAAAAAGTTGTCCACTTCATTCCTTAATATTAATAAAAAAAATAGAGGTTAAAAAATCAATGTGAATAGTTTTTCTTTTTTAAGAAAAAGACAGATTAAAAAATGAGAAAACTATAAATAAAAAAAAAAAAGTTGAGAACTAATTTGAAAATTTATTGAAAGAAGCTTAATTAAAAAAGAATAAATTGCTTTTCAGAAGGCAATAAACCGAAAAGGAGTGTTGGATTAAAGGAGTAACATATCTTTAAGTTAAGTTTTGATTATTGAGAAAGTTGGAGTATTTAAACTTTAAAATAAGCATGCATGCTTTTAATTGTTCTGAAGAAAGGGGGCCTCCCACCTTTTGTGATTGCACTAGGGCATAAGCATTCACATGGTTAGTTGGAAAACCTTTTCCTTTTTCCCTTTCTCTAAATGGTTAGTGGAAGAATGCAGTCATTCTAACAGGAAACAATGTTTTATTCCTATTTCTGTGATCCTCTTTTTGGGTTCATTCGTGTCCATTTCGCTTGTTGCAAGTGTATATTGATACCATCTTTCTTCCATTATTTATTGTAATTAAAATAATATTCGACTTTTAGCTAAATTCCCTCACCACCTGACTCTGAATTTTATCAATCACATAAAGACACAAGTCATGCTGGCTTGATGCTTTATTCTTCATTTCACTGTTTTATAATCACCTTTATGCTACTTACAACATTGTAATTAGTTCCGAATATGGTCGTGTTCCCGTACAAGTTGCATTCAACAAATACTCCTTGTTGCCATTCACATTCTATCGTTTGGAATAAATTTTCATCACCATGATGACAAATTTTATTGGTCAATTAGGAAAAATGTTATAATAATATATATAAATAAAAAATAATTCTCATCTAGGATTGAGTTAAAATTTTAATTTATTTATTTTAAATAGTATCCAACACTTTTTTTTTTTAAATAGTATCAAAACATAAATTTTATGTTTGAGGTACCCATTATTCATTTCAAGTTTCAAACTACCTAGAAAAAATTAAATTCCATAAATTTCAAATTTAAGAAGTCTAATTCTCGATATGTAAAAGTGTTAAAATTTAAGATGAGAGTTAAACTCCAATCATCATTAAGAAATAAATCTTTAATCATTTATAATATTTGCATAAATGTTAATGTATATAATTGATTGAGCCCTTTACTTGGATGACCCTTCCCACCTTGAATTAATTAAAGGTGGAGTAGCATAAAACTCCCGTTACAATGAATGAGTAGTATATGAACACGTATGATAAATAAATGGAGTGGGAAAATAATTGGTTGAATACACGTGACAGTGTAGAAAGGAAGAGCACGAATGAGGCAGCAACACATATTAATAATAAGTTGTTTGCACTCTGAATGAAGCAGCTTTCAGGTGTTATAAGTCATTATAGGAAAGTAGAGGGTAGAGGCATTGTTTTGTAGCCCATTTAAAGGGTATCAAGGGATCACATGGAGGGCCATGTGACTGGAAACACAACCAGTGAAGCTCTCAACTAAGGCAAATTCTTTAGCTTAATTAATTAATTAATGGTGTGTGTGTGTACGTGTATACACATTGACATAGTAGCATGGTTTTTATAAATAGGTTGTGGCAGGAACCAGGAAGTGACAAAAACCATGGTATTCGCAGCCATTTGTGGGCTCGACCCTCAAAGCGGGGACCGATTCCCCAAAATAACAAACAGAAACACAGCCACAGGTGATGATGATACATACTAACCACAACCAAACACCTGTACTCATTTGCCATTGCTAACCAGCTAAGCTTCTGACAACTTAAATGTCAATGCCACTTGCTACTTGCTACTTTCTATTAATGTTATCGTCAAAATTATATTTACGAATATGCTTAAGCTACTTGTTAAAGAATCCAAAAACTTTTTTTTTTTTAATTAAAGCTGTGACAATACACACTCCTGTATTATTTTAATGCAGTTTTTTTTTTATATAATTTTTTAAATGTTGATTATTTAACTATTAGCAAGATCCTTAAATTTAAATATTAATAATTTATTTTCTTTAATATTGACTCTTTATTATTAATTATTAAAATTTATTAAAAATCACAAATTTGATCAATTTTAAGAGAAAAAAACATTAAATAAGATGTGAAATTTATAAGATTTTTGATTTTTAATAAATCTTGACTAACAATAAAAGTGTTACAAGAAAAAAGTGTTACAAAGAGTTTTCACTATCATTTTTCGTTTAAACTTATAATGAAAAGTTTAAAACAAATGTTATAATGGAATGAAAAATGAAAAGTTTTAATTGAAAAGTATGAATACGCTTCTATTTTTCAATTTGTCTCCATTATGATTTTTAACAAAACATTCTATTTATATTCTTAAGGTTTTTGTTAGCAAAAGCTCAATTTAATTATACATTGCATGTTAGTGTTATGCCTTTCTAAAAGGTGTTATTAGTGGTTATTCTAACTTTTGCTCTAACTTAAATAAGAGTCACCGGTCCAAATATTAGTGGTAATTTTAAACAAAAAAAAATAAAGCATTTAAGAGAAGTTTTTTTAAAAAAAATATATTAAAAATTGTAATTTTTTTTTATAAATTTATTTTCAATTAATTTAATAAATTTTAAAATTAAATTTATAAATAAACTCACATTTAATAAAATCTTATTAAATAATTAATTAAATTATTTATCAAAATGTGTCCCGACTCCGAATAGGATATATACAGAATCATTTTATTACAGAGAAGGGACGTGTGTGATTAGTATTTATTCTAATGAAAACAAGGGTAACATATTAATTCCTATAACAATAATGTGTGGACACTACTCGTGTATTACAAGCATGCATTTGACAATTTTTTTTTCCTCTATCTTTCTTTTAATCATATTATTTACTATATATATTTATACTTTTGTCTCTTCTACCTCTTTCTCTCTCAATTCTCAAAAGATCAAACAGCATTAAGGGTTTATGCATTATTATTCTAATGCCTACGTTTTCCGATGACAAGGTTGGTTCGTGGCAAGTCCTTAATATAAAAGGACTTGTATACAAGTTTTTATTATACACTACGCAGTGAACCTGGTAGCTCGATCAACTTGTAAGATTAAATTATAAAATTTTATATTCGAATAATGTTGATACTCTTTCGCTAAGAAATTTTCTATAATTATTATTGTATATATGCATTGACTTCAAAGCAAAACAATTTTCTTTGAATTTTTTTTCTTCAATATAGTATTTGGGGGTATGTTGGAGAATTTTTATTGAACAAAAAACAAGAGGAAAAAAAGAGAGAGTACAATTGGTGGAGAAAGGTTGTTCAACTTTTGCTACTCGCCAATAATTGAAAGTTACAAAAACCTTAGTTTAATTCAGCTAAGACATCAATGATAGAGAGAAATCTAGTGGAGTCCATCTTTCCACGTCCGACAAGGTGAGGGCTGTCAATAGATGGAGCAATGTTAGTGTCTCTATTTCAAATATCTGTTATATATTCTTCCCATCAAACATCTACTTTTGAGTGGATTCCAACTCTTCTTTCAACCATATGGATTTCCTAACCCAAAGTTGAGTTTTACTTTTACTAACCTAACCAAATCATTAACCTTCCTCATTTTAATTTTCTTAAGATTTTATTAGAAGATCCGGTCCAATCTCATTTTATCTTATTCTCTTTAAATAAAATTTACGTACAGTATTATATTATAGGTGTTATGAATGTTGTTTTTCAATTAAAATTCGGTAATATCAACGTAATGTTCTTTTCATAAGGTTTCACCCTGAAGTAGGTTACTTCAATCTTAAGTACCCAATGAGCAGTCCTTGTTTCTCTCTTCTTTTTTCTTTTGCCAACTTTGCACAACATACAGAATCTACCCTATATAATCTGAGCCTCATTACATTATAAGCTAAATTTTGGTTATATTATTTTTTGTTTAATACGGGCACAGCTTTTGTGCATGTGTTTAATATCTGTGGTCAATTCACATGATTTGTGGTTACTTGAATCTTTTATAATAGTCTCGGCAAAGTCTTATTATATAAGGTGCCAACTCACATTTGTTCTTAAACAAAGCCGGCATTTGGTTCATAAGAAAGTGGGACACCAAAGTATAATGGAATTATACCAAACCTTTCTCACCTTCCCTTCATCAAAGACTCAGCATCGGTATCTGTTACCAATTTGTAAAACGAAGCACCTTTTTCATACATGGGACACCAAGTTTTGTTTCCGAATTTATCGCCAACCCGCATGTGATTTAAAAACTTAATTATCTAGGCAATTGGCATCAAATAATCCAGAAATACCCCTATTTGCTCACATTAAATAACAGTGGAAGATTGTTGATTTAGAATCAAACCAAGACTTAATTTATTGGTGTAACTACCAAACTTTCTAAACCACTATTTAAATATTCTCTTCTTGCTTTACCCAATATTGATCTAGTTAGAATCAACCAGCTCATACATAGTAACACTTACATTACATCTTGGTATTCAACTTTCTGATCATAGGAGTGAGTATTAGTATTACTCTCTTTTCTGTTGCTTCTCTGTCTTTGGTTGGTTGGTCTACTGCAGTATTTGAATCCATGATGCTATTTCCAGAACTAAAAGGAGCATTTGAAGAAATGTCAGTACTGCATGACAGAATGAAAGACATGAGATTTTTTTTATCTGTGTACGGACAAAGAAACATTCATTCAATTCAAACGTTCAATAATGACATAGCATACCGTTCTTTGAGCACCAACCCGGCCTAACCCACAACTTCAACTTTTGAGTCAGCTTCAGACACAAATCTTTGTAACAAGTTAGTTGACGAGGGGCCATCTTCATACTCGAGTCTCCAAGTATTCAACATTTCAATCGATAATCATTAATGGTGATGAATCTTATCTCCAAGTTAAGGGTATACTTCATCTAGGAAATTTTCTTATCCTGCTATACTGCATATTAGTAATAGCTTTAGTTAATTATGCACGTGTGTCTTCAGACATACAGTATTACAATACATATTATGGAATATTATAGGGATTGACTAGCTCCCTTTCTGACAAGGTTGTGAATTGGAGCCTATAATGAAGCAAATTAAACCTCTAAACTTTTAATCAACAGTTAAATAAATTAGCATGTTACTTTAATTTATTTTTCATATTAGTGACTCATGTTTAATGTCAGTTACTATTGGTCTAAATCTAACCAAGACAAAAAAATATCCTTGCAGAGAAGGAAAACAATAATTGAGATTGATGGAGAAAGAGCTGCATCAATTGAGCCATGCGCCCCCTTTCTCTTATGTTTTTTTGTTTTATTAAAGCAAGAGATATGATTGATGTGAAACGACCTTACCCCTTTCATTTCCTGCTCCAATGGTGAAAACAGACCATCACTTCATAAGCTTATTCAAGGTGTCATTATCTAATGGCATGTCAAATTCCTTTTCCATGGACTGTTTAGTAGAGGAGAGGAGAGGAGCTAAATAAGTTTCTTGTAGTTTCCTGTTAAACGGAAATTATTACAGTCCAATACTACTAAACCTCGATGGGACGCATTTAGGTTTTTCATTTTACTAGAAAAAAAAATAACACTTAATTATATTATCACACAGAGACTAATTAAGAATTATGTAATTTAAGACTGTCCAATAATTTATTATGTCAACCTTTTATTCTCATTTTTCAGTCATTATTTCTTAGGAGCTCGCAAACAAGAAGGTAACGTGGTAAGACAAACACGTTAATTGAGAAACCATACTTGATCTTATTTTGATGGATGTAACAAGGAAGAGAGAAACTACAATCCATTCAGGCTTGCATCTGAAGGCTACATAAACTTTTACCATGTACTACACACTAGTTGGCTAATTACATGAATGTAGACGTCTTTCAAACTAAGAAAGACACTTTTGTCTTTCTTTTTCCATACATTTTTGTTCTGACTTGAACAAAAAATACAAAGCATCCTATATTCTACCCAAGCTGAACTTCTTTTTTCATGGCAAGGTAGGGATGTGCATGTCATTTCATCTACACATTTATTTACACACGGGAACGTGCTCGCTGGGACACATGTTTCCACTCCACCAAGCGTTGAAGAAAGTTCATCACCTGCATGAAATAAATACATTAATACATAAATAACAATAAGTTATATTTTGGACATAGAAAACAATGTACAAAAATAGATGAACTAGTAAAAAATTCTACTTGCCTCGTTTGGATCCTGTAAAGAGTAAGATGCACTTGTGTCTTTTGGAAATTTGGAGACAAGAATACCAAAACCTTGTCCTCTGTCTCTTAATTTCTGCATATTAAAAAAATCGAAATCCTTTAGGCTTTAGCTTTTTAATCATCCCAAGTAAGATAGTTAACTTACACAAAACTATTAGTCTCTAAATTAAAAGAGGTGAATTTTTATAGAACTTTATATAAAGGAAATAATAATAATTGAGATCTTTGGATACCTTGAAAGCATCTTCATCGGATCGATCATCGCCAATATAAACAGGAAAGACATCACTACAATTGGCCAAACCTGTTGAAAAATATTTGTAATTTAGATGATGGTGGACAATTTAAAAAAAAATTAATATAAATTAAGAATCTCATGTGTTAATGTTCAATGAGTAAACTAATCACGTAGGGTATAGGAGCATTCCTTTAATTATTTGCAATAGTCAAGACTCTAAAGGGTTATCCAACAACTGAAGATCACAGACTTGTACTTAACTTTGTGCCATTAATACATGTTCTATAAAATATGTTAAGCACATGTTCAATTGTGAAACTAAAAAGTAGAGTGTGTTAGACTAAAACTCACCAAGAGACTCTAATAAAAATTCCAAGGCCTTCCCTTTGTCCCATTTAATAGTGGGACGAATCTCTAGCACCTGTGTTAAACAAAATGACAATGAAATTAAGTGAGACACATCGCTCTCTCACTTCTTACTCCTTCCAAACTAAATCAAACGCTTAGTAAAAAAATAGATAAAAAAAACAAGAAAACAGAACCATGGCCCACCTTTCTTCCTTGGGTAAGTCGAAGCTTGGGGTAGTCCTTTAAAACTGATTTCACTTGGCGTGCCAGTTCACTCCATTTCTATGTATAGTGCATTTGGTTTAGACTTTTTCATGAACAGAGAAATAGTCTATGTAATATAATACTTCAAAAAAATTGGGGCAGGAACAAAAACACAAATATGGATGGCTGTATGGTTTGTACCTTTTCATCAACACAACGAAAATGAACAGAGAGGCAGAACTTGTTGTTCTCAACCAAAGCTCCAGAAGTTGATTTTGTCTTATCAACCAACTGTTGGTACACCTAAAATTTTGTACCCCCAAAAAAATTACTTTAAACATTCTAGAAATGAAAACCATTTGATTTGGCTAAGGTGATAGTGTAAAACTAATAGACTAATAGACCAACCTCATCTATCATGGGAAGAAAATCACTGGCTGCTTGAAAAAGAATTGTCTCAGCTTTGCTATCCTACGGACACCAACCAATGCAAAATTATGTTTTCAGTGTCATAAAATTTGAAAAAGAAATAAAAAGAAAAGTTAGGAGTTAGGAACATATGTTCCATATAATAAATAAGCAGTACGTACACTACAACTAACTAACTCACTTTGTTGTATTTGGAGCTTCTTGTTGGCCCTTTAATATCCATGCCATGGCTTCCAGCATAGTACAGCTCTGCCAATCGAACAAAATTGTATACCTATTGTTTCCAAAGCTACCATCAAATTAGGACAAAAAAAAAATAATAAAAGAAAAGGAAAGGAGAGAAGGATAAGTACATAACAAGATCACAGAAATAAATTTACTCTAACCAACTTTTAATATTGTACCTTGTCTTTGCATCTACCAGTCACTATAGCAGTAGGGAAACACCTTGCGACTTTCCTCACTGTTTTTCTCATCTGATACAAAAAACAACAAATAGTGGTAACAATTTAGCAGGCAATAAGTCAAAGACAAGGTTGAAAAACATTGGAAGAAACGAAACTAACCGAATGACTCATGAAAGCACGATCAGGGTCCTCGACTATAGGGGACAGCGTACCATCATAGTCCAGAAACATGACAATTTGTTTACCCTTTGACGCGTCAACAATTTGGTCAAACATGTCTAATGCCGAGGGATGGCGAAGCTGTTTGACAATGATAAAAACATTATGTTACGTAGGTTTAACAAAGTCAGATCCACTATTTGGAATTTAGACATGTGAAATAAAAAGGGCCTAGTGGTTTTGATTCTCACAATCCAAGAACTATGCTCCTGAGTCAAAGAAGGTGTGGACTTAAGATGGGTTGGAGAAGAGGCTCTCATGGACTCAACCCATGCATTGATTCTTTGGCCACCATTGATTTCAAGGTTCTTCAAAACCCTTCTCCTTGAAATGGAAATGTACCCTCCTGGCGCTGCTGGTGGCTTTGGGAAAACGGTTAAGGAAACTCCAGATTTGGTGTCAGACACTACCACATTCTGCTGCGTCATTTTGACACTACAAAAACAAAACCAACTCACGTATGAATGTATTGTATGGTATTACTATAGGTTAGTGATTATTAAAACCAAGTGTAAGACATTTTCTTACGTTTGAGAAGTATAACTAAGTTGAACCAAGTGTGGCTGTGGATGAAAGAGGAAAGGGATTAATAGTAAAAAGGAATGGAAGAGAGACAAGAGAAGGGCAAGTCTTAGAGTAGTGAAGAGAGTGAGTGTGAATGTGTGAGGGAAGAGACAGAGTCCCCTGCATTGAATTTATAGTTGGAAAAGAGAAGCTCCAAAACACTCTGGTGGGACCCACGAACTGGGCCCCACGACTTTGCCAACCCCGATATCCCTGAGGTCCCCACCATAGTCCACAGACCACACCATCTTTCCTCTTTATTACGTGTCTCTGTGTGTGTGCATTCAATAAGATTGAACAAGCTACAATATTGACTCTCGAAATTGTAGTGTGTGTGTGTGCGTCCAACATTTTGTGTATGTATGTTAGTATATATAATATCACTGTATTTCTTTAAATTATCGTAGGAATAATACTTGTGCATGTCCTTGTACATACGTGTGATGTGATGGGATTAATCGTTTGTGCGAAAAAACTTTGGTAAAACATGTTAGAATCAATTAATCAAATGTTAAAGTCATGGCATACAGGTAACAGATGTAAGAAGTGTGTTACATTGAGGTTTAAATTAAAGCAAACACACGTTCTTAGGCAATCAGTGGAAAACGAAAAGAACTTCCGAATTTTGCAAAACTCCATTTTCAAGCATGATTAAGGGTAAAAGCATACAGATTATATCAGAATTTATGAGGTTATGTTTATTAATTTAATTGATAGGAAAAATTCAACAAGTACACGTGTTAATTAATGAAAGTAAGATGAATGTTAACAACACATTATTCTTTCTAATATATCCTTCTCCATACATTCATTTTTATTGGTTAAAATTTATATAAAAAAAGTTACAAAATTAAGAAGAGTGTGTTAGAAAGATGAATGTGTTGCTATAATACTCCTTTTAACAAACTCATTCTTATTAGTTAAAATTTATTTACAAAATTAAGAGAAGTATGTTAGAATTTATTGAAAACTACAAAATCAAGAGTAGTATCCTAGAATTTATTAAAAATTACAAAATTAAGAGAACGAGTCATTAAAGAATATGAGACTTCTTAAATATTATATTTTTCAATAAATTTTAACTAATTAAAATATATGCTTTAAAGAGTGTTTAAGAAATTGCGTAAATAAATATAAATATTTTTCCTATAAGAATTTGATTGGATTACTAATTCACAAAATTTTTATTATTTGAACTTAACTTTGAAGTGATTATTAAAAGAAGAAACAAATATAGAAATCAAAAATCATCGACCATAAATTGATTAACATGAAATTATTATAATTTAACTAATGATTTCAAGTTGGAACGCTATATATATTGTTATATTAAATATTTGAATTGAACATTATTGTTCACCATAGAGAAACATCCAATTGTTACTCCATGTAATCAATATTTTTTTCCTTTCTAAACTCAAGTTCTAACCTCTAATTAAAGGTTAAATGCACGAATTAGGTTAACGTCGATTCATTGACAGCTTGAATTTTTTTCTTATAAATTAATAACCCTGAGTTATTAGATTTACCTATTAAAACAAGCATTAAGCTTAAGATTTCATATGAATTTTATCCCTTGGATATCAATACCTATGCTATTAAAACCGGCTCGAATAAGCCAAAGTGGAACATTTTCGGTGTGGTGTATCTTTGTGAGGATCAACTTATTTGTAGAAACGTTTTTTTAGATATTTTTACTTTAAAATATTTTTTTTATTTTAAAAAAAATGTTTCTAACTTGTACCAAAATAGACTCTATATCATCCTTATTTGGTTTAAAAGTTATTAAGTAAGAAAATGAAATTACTATATATTATATATATTATTTATGTGTAGAGAAATGTT